CTTCCCAGGAAGAAAAGAATAGTGGTAGAGGATAGCGTAGTAGCCTTAACGGTTTAAAAAAGTAACATGATTAATTTCTTTTTTCCCAGGCGTACGTACCAAATAATTTACGTCGCAAGCTTTTTTATACCCCAGGGGACCCTCATACCTGGCTGTAGACATACCTGGTACTAATTTCCGACCATCACCTTTTCCCTGCTTTAAAAAACGAAGACAGCACGCTTGTCATATGCTGCTTCATCTACTTTGGGGTGAAACTGGTTTTTCAAAGCTAGCTCTCTACGGCTGTCAAAAGGGTTTCTGCATTAAGAAGGGAATTTTTCAAAGATGAGATTTTCCTTCCACACGTCTTTTAAAAAACTGGGGGAAGGGCCCCGCACTTGGTGTCCGAAATTAATTTAAAAGGACTAAATCCCGGGGTTTTTTGTTCCTTTCCTATAGGAACAGAAGAAAAGGGAACCCTATCCCACTCTAGAAAAAAGTTCACAAAAGCCCACATGGACTTCAGTGTCTGATGAAATCCCTCTAGAGCCCCTTGGACTGTGGATGATAACGGTTGAAAGTCAGATTTTTTTCCAAGGGGGGATAATCTTCTCGAAAGATCTTAGAATGAAGTTTGATCCCTGATCTGATTGTATCTTGTGGCAAAACCAACCTGGGAGAAAAAATTTCATCACGTCTCACAAAAGCACGAGCATTAATTTTTCTAAAGGAATACTTCGGGGTAGCGTGTTGCAGCTCCAAAATAGTAAATAATATTGGTTCCTAGTTTGGTTCTAGGGAAAGGACCAACAAACAATAAAGAGTGAGAATGGTTCACCATGCACGTGATAGGAATGAGAGGCGCAGGTGGGGTGTGTGCCTGGCTTCCTGCACTTGACACACTGGCAACGTCGCACATGATCACTATTTTTTCCTTCATCTTTGGGAAGTAAAATTTTTTGCCATTTACCCCCATGTCTTCCCTTTACACCCAAATGTCCTCCTAGGACATTTGAGCAAAATCAAGGTTGTTCAGAAATTAATGGGAACACAACTAATTCTTGACTGTGGTAGAAACAATCACTACAATTACTGTGTTTTTTCTATCGTACCCCCCGTTACTAAATAGTAACAATTATCGAGATCCTTGCTTTTACCCGTAAATGCTTATCTCTCATCTTTCCAGTGCTATCAACAAAATGATCCTTGATTAAATCTTCATGAGTTTGAAATTTAACATCAGTTGTGTCCTACTAGGTTGATGACCGGGGGAGTCGTGTTAATGACCCGGGGGCAGACGTCACTAAACAACATATTTAACCCCCAAAAATTGTCATCCATAATCAAAGGGGACAAGGGTGGTTTTTTTATCTTGACATAGCTCTAGTAATTTCGGAGGGAAATAAAAAGGTTTCTTCTACAAGCTTCAATGGCATAATTATCATCATGTTATTTTCAACACAAATGGTTTTCCCTTTCATTACCAGCATAAGGAATCGTCCCTATCAACAAGTCCACTGACCTGATGGAAATACACCCCTGGATAACCCCTGAAATAAACCAGTATAATACTTGTTTTTAAATAAATTTTTGCAGAGGCCTTTTTTAAAACCCCTCCCCTAGTTTTAAAATCATCTCTTTCAATAGGAGCAGTAAAGGGCAGTACATCTTCTCTTTAAAAAAGGAATAACTGCCAGGGCTTAAAGAAATTATCTCAGTTAGATGTGATTGTCAAACCTACTTTATCCTTTGAAAAGTAAAAGGACTCATCGCTGAAAAATCTTTTGTCGAACACTTTCTGACCTAGTCATCTGTCCGATTTAACTTATCTAAAAAAGTAGGATAAGAAATTGCCAGGATTTTGGTGCCTTTGTTCACGGAAAGGGAACGACTTTGGGGGGGGGCCAGCCGCACGACTGTTTCCGTATCTCTTTCTAATTTTTTACAATATCTTAGCATGTCCTTTTTGTTACAATAGGAAATTTAATTTTTTCTTCTCGAACCAGATTTCTGTCTAGCCCAAAACAATTCAGGGTTGTGAGTTTTCCCGGTAAAGGTACGAGAATTACAGTACATACATCAGGCCCGGGAATGAGCAGCTGATTTTGGGTTTCCACTTTGGGCAAATTTTTGTTACCTTGTTTTTTTTTGTGTTTTAGTACGTAAGTTTGTGGAAATCTCGTAATTGTCTGCAATGCGCAGTTTCCCGAATATGAGGGATATATCGATAGTATTTTTGATGTCGCAACTACAGTTGTTAAACTCTTCGTGTGAACAACTGAACAAGGGGTCGAGTTGGTACACTTAGCCTCTAGCCTCTTCAAATGCAACTTTTTTTTCACGACAAACTCTACACAATTTTTATCTTGTCTCGTTGTAAAGACGAAGGCTCTTTGAAACCAAAATAACAAGTTATCGTCTCTAGAATAGTTTTTTTTTTACGCGTCTAACTAAACTTAGCAAATGGGAAAGCACCTACAAATTTGGCTTTCCTGTCAAAGCAGTATTAAGCAATGTTGCCCATGCTTACGTGGCCATTCAAGCACGAGCCTGGTTCTAAACAATCAAAATAGTGTCTAATCACTTTCAAAAACTTAGGGAACCATGGAAAGCAGTTTCTGCCTTTAAAAGTGTCCTGTGATCTATCAGTTTTTGTCTT